TTGTTGTTGTTGTTGTTGTTGTTGTTGTTGTTGTTGTTGTTGTTGTTGTTGTTGTTGTTGTTGTTGTTGTTGTTGTTGTTGTTGTTGTGTAAATTGTATTACATAAATTATATACATTTATATAATAATTTCACACTGACTCAGACACCAACATTTCATAATTCCATAATAATCTGAACATTAAGTATAATAATAATAATTAGTATTATTTATTTTTAGTCTGTATTTTTTGTATAAATGTATTCTTGTAATTATATAATAATAATAATAATAATAATAATAATAATAATAATAATAATAATAATAATAATAATAATAATAATAATAATAATAATAATAATAATAATAATAATAATAATAATAATAATAATAATAATAATAATAATAATAATAATAATAATAATAATAATAACTTTCATCTTTAAATGAAATTAGATTTTACCTTCAGTCCATTATATTATTTAAAAAAAAAAAAGAATGAAAGAACAGCCTGGAAAAGTCATGCAAGTTGTAATTTATTAATTTTTATTTTAATAAATTTTAGCATTTATTTTTTTTCTGTACTGAATATAGATATACATATTCCATGTGCTGCTGTTCCATGTAAAGCTTATGTATAAAACTTTCATACACTCGCGAATTCTTCTTTTGAGTCAAACCGGTTCACAATTATTAAATTAATCTGTCTGTCGCAGTCAAATCCATATCCAATAATCACAAATGAGTTGGAAAGTTATGGAAATTCATTGCTCAAACTGTGGAAACTCAGAATATAGAGAATCCAGTCTCAAATGCATGTTTTGTCTTCCCGCAGTCGTCCTGGTCTGCTGAATGCCAGTGATTCGGGATACCCCTGGCTCGCTGACTCCTGGCCGGCCACCAGTCTGCCTGTGAACAGCGGTTCTGGAGGACCCAACGACCTCAACAACTTCGGCCGTGGAGGTAAATCGAGTAAATGGAGAAATTGGTTGTAGTCAAGTGATAAAAGCAAGTTCTCTCCATCAGTTGAAAAAAAATGTCCTCTTTCCCTTTTATATTTCTGGGCAATGATTCATTCAGGATATCCTACTGTTGTCCGTAAGATGAACACCTGTATGCATATTGCATCGGCCATTTTTGGACACACATTTATTTATCATGCGCTGTGACAGACTTATATCGCCACCCGCATCCTGCTGTCATGCTGAAACTAATGGCTGTGGTTCTGACCCACTGTCAGACAGAGGAAGGGCCGATAGCGGAGGAGAGGGGGTGGTGGGGGAGCAGTGAGTCGTGAAGGACAGCCGCAACTTGAGTGGTGCAGATGCAGCTGCTGTATATCATTTTCTCTTCAGTACACACATATACACACACACATGTAGAGTTACAGCATTATTTCCTCCTTCACAAGTGCAAAGGAAAAATGCAAATGAAATATAGTAGCAGTGAGTCAAAGGGAAAGGATGAAAATAAACTAAAGGCCTGTTCACACCAAAAGTATTGCATATTCACAAAACGAATATTCAGTATGATTAATTATTTCTTTTACTTATGTAATATATGAATGAAAATATGTTAAAAAAAATTATATTATATAATAATAATAATCTGTTTATTATCTCAT